TATTATGGAATAATAACAATGTAAGCCTATTCGTTGCCCTATTTGACGACTCTACAAGTCCATACAGTTCGGAGAAATGTGGGCCAAAATTGCTTCAGTAAAAAGATATTGACGATGTATTTGTGCAAATTGTATACGCGTATCTTTCTTTGACGCGTACACGAACGATCGGTCGATTTAATAGAAACACTTAAAAAAAAAGTTCCCTCATTATGAACGATATGATATGAATATTCTTATAACCTTTCAACAGACGGATGCTATTCATCGAGCAGAACCCATAGCCAAATCTATGAGAAATTATTAACAATTATGGAGCTCAGTCTAATTCAACACCCCCGTCTATATAGTAGAAAAAACTTGATAAAATTCCATAAAAGCTGACTATGCTTCTCTATCTCTTGTAGCAAAGCTGTGTTCTGTAACCTAAGTGGCTTTAGCTTGCAGAAGTAGTCATGGCGTGGTTATTGGGCCTAATTTGTTTCTGGTGTGAGGAGACAACTGAACAGCTCCTCAGTCCTAATGTACCGCCAGACACGCCCCTTCCACCCTTGGTATTTGTATAGGACAGGCGCCCCTGGCCTTCTTAGGCGGGCAGACTCCCTCGAGTTCCCCAGCTATTCCCTGAGGCATGCCAAGTATTCTTTCTACTCGGACGCAGTAAACGGCGCTGTAAGAAATCAAGTTAACCACAAGTGGATTAAGTACTACTCGCCTTTTCCAACTATATTGCCCCGCATTAAGCACAAGAAGTCCCCGACTATAACTGGACAACTCGTCTTCATGAGCGGCAATCGTTCCGTTCTCGTGGCTAAGACATGTAACCGCGACTCTCCGAGGTTCAGGAGTGGAACCCCTGTCTTTCTTCTTCGTCCGATAGGGTTTCAGCCCGTGCCTTTCAAGGATAGCAATTTCGCCTTATATGACACGATAATTTTACCTTTTTACCACGTGGTAGCTTTGCCATTACACAACAGAAAGATTTTGAAGTGTTTGAATACCCGGAATATTGCTTCTGGAGTTCATTTGTGCGCAAATTACAACACTTAAGAAAGCTGTGTGGATTTTGTTTGCAACATAAAAATAACTCTTTAGCGCTAGTGCGGTATAAAATATAATTTATGATTATATTGCTATCTTAACAAAATACATTGGCTGACTGTACTAAGTCGCTATCGGACCCTTCTGGTCGCAACTACTGGAGAATGCTTCTTATCTTGCAATTTTCTTCAAAATCTCTACCTAATAGTTGATCACCTTGAAATACAGCTTAGCACAGAGAAAACAGTGAACGCACCCTAGATCTTGACGATTCGAGCTAAGTTCCCATATCAGTCTTAGCTGTTAAATCCAACAGTAAAGAACGTTTTCTAAAAGAAAAACAGGAAGGAAAAATATTTTATAACATACAGCTTCTTACACGTAGTTTAGAAAAACATTTCGCAAAAAACCAAGATGGAGAAGATTCTTCATTCTGCTGGGACCCGAGGACTCGTCGTTTTCAGTTTTGGCGTGTTATGGGCTCACGCTCCACCAGATAGATGCTCTCCAGAGACATGCAGGACCCCTGACATTTGCCTACCAGGACACACACCTAAACATCATCACATCATATTAGGCAGAGCTGCGCCTGGCAACCTGTCCCATTAAGGACTTCCCACCAAGGTGGTCGGTTCAGTGGTGGCACCTAGTTGATTTAACGTAAATATGCTAGCTATATTAGCTTTGTTCAATTGGACCGCCTAGGTCGATGGCAGGGCTGGTTGTGTCGGTGATAATATCATAGACTAGTTGGCCGCCCATGTCGTCAGGTCAAATAATTGCAAATGCCTCTTGCTTACTAATTTACTACGTTAAAATTTCTATACCGTGTTAATATACCGCATATAGTAGTACGACCTCTACGCCGTAAAGATCCATGCGATTCCGTAGTTTTGCCCTGTATATGTGATTGTCTGCCCGCTGATTTTGTGTTTGCCAGCGTTGACTTTGCGCAAGGTGGATTCGAAAATGGCGCATACATACGGACAAATTAAATGATTAATTTATCTTTTCTCATTTACGTTTGAAATTAAACAATATATTAGGTAAAATGTTCTGAAATTAACGCGTAGAGTTATTTAAAATGTCTAACGATATCTCTGACACCTTCGATGGACTCTGATCCATAGAGTAACGATCGTATCCGTACGTGTACGTAATATGTATACGCCCTTCACGCTTTAAACAAAAAATACAATTCGAGTTCAGATTGTTTACGGTAAGGGCGTGGCGAGTACCCTGCAATTTGAAGAGTATATTTAAATATGCAGATGCGAATAAATGCGGTCTGCCTAATTCGTGGTCGGATGCACTATCGAAATGTGCCTAACTGATCGTACGTAATCCAGAAAATCTTTTGCTGTTTTTCAGCTTAGATCGCAGCTTTATCTATCAGTATATTCGACTCTTCAGAAGCGGCTAACGCAAAAACAAATGACCCACTACAATCGATTGTTGCCCAAGTTCAGAAGGACTTCTCAAGGATTGTATCGCATACACGTACAATCTGGAGTCAAGCCTAAAGCTTGTCACTGATCGATTGATTAAATTCCTTCCGTCGACTAAGGCGACGCATGTACCCTAAATTAGTGCAAAAATTAATAAAAATCTGCATTATACGAATGACAGAGTAGTAGCAGTACTTTGTCTCCATCTGCACAACATGGGTAGGCATCATATCGGAGACTGGCCCGTACTATTCGTTAGTTTCATCATCACTGCACATCCATTCGGTTTTCGGCCCATTCAAGCCTTTACAACCGTAGCGCGGAGCTTTTATCAGGTCCGTTCGGCTTTAAGATTTTTCTAATGATATCTACGAACGCTGTAGGCGATTACGAGTAAACTAGTCACAGGCTAAACCGCAGCCGTCACATGAATAAGCACGATCCAGGGTGGACAGTGGTTCACGGCCGATAAGCTAAGCCTAGCTGACCTTAGGTGAATTACTGCCGGGCACGGTATCTGGTTCAGTAAACCGTGTCGACCCGTTGGGTGAACGCCAGATCCCCCCTGACACCTAGTGGAACACCATTATCTTGACACCCGAGCGACGGCCACCTTCGTACGCTAATTTTATTTCGTGCGATGCGGCCACAGGATCGGCAACTAGATCTATTTATGGCTTTGTTTTTCCTTTTGTTCGCCACCCTCAGATATGTACTTCGATTTAAGATTGTTTTCACCAAACTTTCTGGCGTTAACGAGCTTTACGGTGTCAAAACGTTTCAGCACGGAGTAATGTAAATACATATATATACGGTTAGTTATGTTTAATTATTTCATTAGATTTAGTCGGGGACGTTATGGAAATTTGATAGTGTTATGAAATGATGTTTTGTTATGCTGTCTTGTTGTGAAGATATTTAGTGATCCGCAAAATGCTCGTAATGTCTCTTTATTCATAGACAAAACTACTGTATTTTAATCTGGACAAAACACTTACTCCAACAGCAACACCTTACAAAGAATTAAATGAATAAGTGCCAGCCATTAACATAAACCAAATAGAAAATCACGCGTTCTAGATTGCTTCTAGTAATAGGATCGACAGCAGACGGCGCTTTATGACTTCACAGCTGAAAGCCCCACGCCAGCGATATGATGTTGGACCTTTTGAACGTGTTCTTGTCGATAAGTTAAGTATGGTAGGGTGCTCTGGTACAACAGTGCAACAAAGAACTTGCTCAAAGTAAAGATATGAAACGCGCGCGACCCGACACCCTCGACTGCTCGAGATCTTTTGTCTTCGAAGAACTGTATCGTGTATCTTACACTATCCAATGACGCGAAGACATCGCTATAGATGTTGTTCCAGGAATGCCAGTTGGAAGAGCGCACAAAGGGGGTGGGTCTTGAACATAAAAGTGGCTTCATTCTCTGACGTTGCACGTGATTAGGGGATCAAACGTTCACCACTGTCTTTGTTCTTCTCAGTTCTGGATAAGCGACCACGTAACAAAGCGCTCTGAAGTGCAAGAACCGCCGAGATTTCTACGGGGACGAGATAGCGGGAGTTTGCCAATAGTAGTTACGCACAGAGACCGGGCGTTCTACCTAAAACATCTGAGTGGTTCAACTACGTGGTAGATTAGATAGCTTATTATGGCGGTATTTTTAAATGTTTCAGCCATAAGAATCATTGTCGTATAAAGAGAACAAGAAGCACAACCATTTTAGTGTTCACTAGATTTCGCTGGCTCAGTTTAAAGATTACATTTTACTCTTCTTACCCACTTGAGATAGTATTCTAAATCTTGCAAAATAACGTGTCGTTTATTAGACTATTGAGAAAATCTGTGATGTTTCTTTGTTTGCCCAGCTTTCCACGGCGTTCCAACTTAAAAGTAAATACGAATCATAATCGTTTAAGTTCTGTCAATGCGAAACGGTTCGCGTCGGCCGCCTTGCCGAAGTACAGATGCATGTACACGTATAATTCGAGGAATTAATTTTTCGAAGTAACTCTTCTATAAAATATCTTTCGTTTTTCGACGTTGGGTCTAACTGAACATATCGAATATTTTTTTTTATTTTCAATAAACGCAGCCCATGAACGTAACGGGCCATTTACGCAATATTTGCAAGAGTATACATGGATCGTTAGACCTACTAGCGCGATCCCCTCTCTTTGACTGGTGTTATGCGATTTATGAATTGATATTTTGCTATTTTCTATTGTATCTTACCGCCATCCTTTAGCGTAATCTCGTACGTATAGCTATATGTCTTGCAAATGTGAGCATCCATTTATTATTAGTACGGCAATGATAAAGATATGAATATATAGAATATATATAGTATGGGAAGTGTATATACTGTTTCCGGATACGTAGCCTGCAAGGATCGAAAAAAATGCTAGTAACTATATTGATAAACACGACGCATCTATGGCAGAAAACGTTTCTTTAACCTTCAGCTTGAGTTAACTGTTGACCTTTCAACTTGTGTTATGGTAGTGGGCCCCCACATACACCCAGTCATGGGAAGTAGAGATGGAGATTCCGCGCTAAATAATCAGCGGGCAGTGACGCCTCAATACCAGACGACGCGTCAGGATCAACATCGGCCCATACAATATTCTTATCAGGTCCAGCAGCAGTCGCAGGAAGAGCCCGTAGTGCTCTATACCAAAGGACAATACAGTTCAGCAGGTATTTAGTTAGCCACGATTAATAACTTTGCTTGATGCTATAACCACGCTTATTAAGGATTAGCACTTCTACGTTTTCTCTTAAACAAATGAAGGCGCGTTAGTTGTCGCACTGGTATCCCTTTTTACCAATAAAAATGTCCTAGTCGTCGAGACCACGTCGACCCTCGGCCTCGACGGCGAAAATCCCTCGTTTTGCTACATGTTTCGATCTGGTAACATTTAATTTGCAACTTCGGAAAATATTTAACTGTTTTTCGTATACAATCGCATACGATCTCTTGATCATTCTAGATAGACCATTCCGGATAGAAAATCACACGCTTCTGCAATCTGCTCTAAAGATCTTTGAGCAGAACGACTTTACAATAATGGCCAATCTCCAACAACAAATTGGATCCCAGGCCATTCTACTATCACTCGATCAACCGGCACCGATAAACAAAGGGTTAGTATATCCTCTGACGCTACTTCCTTGTATGTTCTATCTGTTGGTCAGGCGTAAACCTTCAATTTTTCGCGTTCAATTATCGGTCTATAGGAAAAACGTGAAGTTTTTTAAATTGAAAAATTAAATCCATACAGGTTGTTGCAGAAAACATGTTTAGCGTTATTCTTCGTGTCAAATCTTGTTCCTTGGTGATGGGATTCTTGATTTGTATTGATACTTACGTGAGGTAATGCACAAATAACCATAGGTTGCTGGAGATAACAATCAGTTCGCAACATGCTGAAGTTTCGATATGGTACAGGAGTCCTGCAGGTGTCTGGCGGAGAAAAGTCTTCCCGTATGTTCAGCTGGCCAACAACCAATTTCACAATGTAAGTAGCGCCATCTCTGGCGATAATTTGCATTGACGCTTCAATCTTACAACTATGTTTGTAAGTCTAACAAGTTCTTAAACAGCGAAAACAACATTTTTAACAGGAAATGAACTGAAAAAAAAGGGAATCCGAGGCAGCCGCTGCAAGTCCGTGAGCACGCGCTGCTTGATTATCAAACCGTCGATTCACCTCGCTATCGCACACTCCTTAAACTTGATCTGACCTAGGAAAAATTTTGCCGATTAAATCTGATTACCGGATAAGGTCAGACTTTCTACATCGTCACCTGGAGAGCCTTGAAAAATTAAACGATTTATCTTCTACAACGATAATTCGAAATTGTGTTCCCCAGAGCTATGGTTCAGTATCGAATACCTCCCAGCCAATATTATAAAGTCTAGCTTGTTACAAGGTCACCATTGATGATCGATACAAGACATTGTAGTCAAATAAATATTGCTGTTCTGTAGTTCCTATAAGCACTGTATATTACCAGCTACTATCTGATTAATGCTAGAAAAACACTTTTTTTATTCGCAAATTCGATTTGTAAAAATGAGTGCTTCATTTACGTGTCGTTAACGTGACGTCATTCGTATGAGGTTATAATTGACCTAACGTTCTGTTTCTCGACGGATCTTACAGATATCATTACGCTTCACAGGAAACCAGGTAGCGTTATTTATTGATTGCACACATAAAGGGAAACTATCTCTATCTGGCGGCCGTGCCCACATAACGCAAGACGCCCAACTTGTACTTTTCGATAGAAGAGAAGCTGATGCATTTCTGGTTAGTACACACACAGTCTGGAGCCGCATAAAAGTATATACATCTAAATTTGTTACGTTCCAGGTACTGTTATTATTTTCTCTGAGACGATCTCTTTTCTCCGTCAGAACGTTGCGAGTTTATCTACATCAATTAATTGCTTTGACACAGGATGAAGTACGTTACGTCTACTTAGCAGCAGGGCCCCAGGCATTGCAACGGTTTCAATGCCCCTGGCTTGTTGACGAGTCTCAGCAGGACAAAGACGAAAGGTTAGCACAACTTGTTCAAGAACAGCAAAGGTATAAGAAGGACCTAGATGAGGTTCGGGCCACATTAAGGAGGATGCAGCAGAGCGTTGATCAGATAGAAAAAATCGTTTTGCCAGTTTGTGAAATTGACCAGGCTAGGACCAAGAAGAACCTGGAAACTTGGAAAGATGGCTGCAAACAGTGCACCTGCGAGGTAAACATTGCAAATAGCATGGCAATAGAATATCTATTGACGATGAGATAATTTCCTTTAAAAGCCACCAGCGTTTGCGTTTATATTATTCATCGAACACAGCTTTGCACAACCACACCTGCTAGGTGTACTGAAGTTGTTTCATGGGTGCAAAAGTAGGCCAGACATCATCAAGCATAACTGTAACAGCACATTCATTAACTTCTAACTTTGTTCACGCATTTTTCAGAACAAAAATGTTACCTGCATACCGTTACCATGTCCTAGTCGCGTGAACTGCTCAGACCCGATGTTGGATCCGTGCTGCAAAGCCACATGCGGACGAAACTGCTCTGATGGAGCTGATATTCTTATTCACGGGGATTCTGTCTATACGTCGCGATCCCTTACGGGCTGCATTGTAAAGACGTGTAATGTAAGCGAGCAGCTATTTGATTTAAATTATAAAATATTATTAAAAATAACACCCGTTTAAATGCAGTCTATTTATGCTAGCAAAGGAAGATTGGAATGACCGGAAATCAAGAATATAACGTCAGAACATTTCTACGATGGACTTAGAGATTTAATTTACACCCTGATCGCCTTCACATATCTGCGTATTAATTAAAATATTCTTTAATAATTTAATTAGAATATTTTTTCCCCTCGTGAACGTGCCTCCATCACTTTACTTCGAGTACTTCATTGATCGCCGATGATAATTAGTAGATATGGAAATTTGAAGCTTAATTATTGCACACGCACTGAGTAAGTCTTCTGAATAAGAGATGCAAATTTGTATATGAACCCGGGGTAAGCGGCAAGCGACTTAAATGCGTGCTGATGTGTGTACGAACGATAGCTTTATTTAGCAATAAGGTGAAAAGTGTCTTCGACTGATACTGTTACTATTAATTAATGAGTAATAGCCGAAGAATAGAACGTGCCAGGATGGAAGCACGGTTAGGATCATCTTCTTTGGTCCAACTGTGCTCTACTCTTCCTGTTGTATAATACTGTGACAATGAATAATAGACATGATGTGGAATGAATGATTTGTCAGGCGGGAGTTATCACCTTCAACAATAAGACCTGCCCACCTCTGGCCTGTCCCGAAGAAGATCGGGCGCTGCCGGTGGACGGCTGTTGCCCCATTTGCCTGCGGCGTCATTGTGGGACATTTTTAGGCGCCTGTGCCGAAAACGCCCACTGTAGCAACCATATGATGAATCCACGCTGCACCTGTGATCAGGGCTACAAAGGCGACGGTGTCACTAAATGTGAAGGTATGTTACTGGGCCTTAAGAATAAAAATGTTTTGGCATACATAAACGATGGTAATAAACATTTTCTTCTACACTGGTTAGCTCTTGTCATTGACTGACTATAGACGCCCTAAGCAACACGCAAAGCTTTTCCTTAGAAATCTAGATGTCTAGTGCTATCGTTATCTCCACCGGTTTTAAGGTCGCACACGGTTTTTAATTAACAAAAAAAGATAATAATGCAGACGTTCACAATTTACCTAATCATATATTTAATCATGATTTAAGTCAAAACTTTATGCACAGCTTTCAATATACTTACCATGACAACTTGTCATCATCAATCACGTACCATGTACAGGCAAAGAAATTTATTCGACTGTTACAGATATTGACGAGTGCGCTTCAAAGGACTTAAATCATTGTTCCGGAAACAGTGTCTGCGAAAATACTCCAGGAGGTTATAAGTGAGTAGTTTTTGCTACCAGAACCATTGGAGAAACGCTCCGCTCATCTGACCCATAAATCCAACCTGAGCACTTACAGATTTGAATCAGTGTTATCATTATTTGCCCTCGTGCTAATTACTGCTATCGCTATGTTGCCGATGCAACGCATGATAATAAGACGCCATTTTCCACCATTTCACCTATTGGAGGTCTCGTCAAGATGACCAAATAATGGTTAACTAGGTACCCAATCAACCAGTTCAGTCCTGGAATCACGTATTGAAAAAAAAAGGCTTATCAAGCGAACGTATTGTACGTGCATGACCTATGAATATACATAGAAAGAAAGACGAAAATCTATAACAAGCAATAATCTATGCGTGAACCTAAATGCAAAATACGTTCGCAGTTGCAATTGTAAGGAGGGATATCGTATGGATTCAGTCGGGCATTTTTGCGTCGATATTAATGAGTGCGCCGAAAAAGATTTCTGCGACTCGGGAGCCACATGTATAAACACGAATGGAGGTTTCCGGTGTGTATGTCCTGAAGGGTACCGAAGCGAAGGCCGAGCGTGTAAACGTGAGTATAAGATGGGTTTAGCGCTCGTCTATAGACTGTAGTTTGCGTTGTTTTTTTGCCCGATCGACGACGGGCTTCTGTCGTTTCAGCTGATTCTACGGACCCATTACGAAGTGTCAGTCGAGTTGAAGCACTCCTAATTTTGCATTTATTATTCGTAAACTCATGTCCATATGTGCCAGTTGCCACACGAAAGAAGTACTTCTCAAATCGAAGATCGAGAGACCAATTAAGCCGCTAAGAAATAATTAACTGCAATAGACACTAACTTAGTCCCCGATTAAATTCTATTCCGTAGCGGTTTGCACAACCGACTGCCAACATGGAGGTTACTGTAAAGCTCCGGGGCTATGCGAATGCCGTCCTGGATACCGAGGCGATCTTTGCCAATACGATATTGATGAATGTGCTGGATCCAACATGTGCGGAAAACATGCCATCTGCATCAACCAGCCTGGCCATTATTACTGCCAATGCAAGGACGGTTTCCAGCTTGAAGCATACAATGGGACTTTGCACTGTGCAGGTCACAAGCTAATATTTAGCTTACCTTTATTTGAGGTTATATCTATAGCACCGAAATAATTTCCTTCCGAAATCAACTAAAAGAGAAACTATTTTATATCTCTAGCATCATCTCGTCCTAGAAATGGCTATAGCTCCCACCTGACCCGTGTCCATGGGCAAGCACAGAGCGTTTGCGTTAGATAGAAATGCTATGAACGTCGTGAGAGCACTCACTTATTACTTCGTGTCCACTGTTACTGCAGACATCAACGAATGCGCCATGGATCCATATACATGTCCCAGCGGATGCAACTGCATCAATCGAGAAGGCTCATTCACGTGTGCATGTCCCGCGGTGGACTCCAGCGGTGCCAATGTAACTAGCTGGAGTTGCCGTGTAGTCGATAGAAGGTTGAACTTCAGCGGCAGCGTAAACGACGGCAGCTCGTTCAGTATCGAAAGGGGTTGTACCTCTTATACCTGTCGACGAGGAACGCCGTTGCGAAGCTCATTCAGTTGTGATTGTAGCGATCCTCAGCAAATGCATCGGGCGTGCTGTCCTCACTGTTTTCAGGAGGAAAAGTCACAGTGTCGCTTGCGCGCCACTGATGGCTCCATCGAAGTCGTTGCTAATGGCCAACGCTTCATTCAAGACTGCGAAATCTGTACATGCTCCGTGAGTAAACAAAATTTACGGCAGGGTACCGTGTAGCAATCCATAGAGACCGGGCAAAGACTGTGCTTAATGCTGATATTGAAATACTGCTACAAGTTTGGTAACTCATTTTACAGCAAGAAGATACCTATAGTTTAAGTGTGATAAATTACAATATGAAAAACTTGTTAGATGAGATTAAACCATAATATGATTATCGACGTTATCCTCACAACAAGTAGGAGTAAAGCACTTATCGATTGAATGCGACAAGTATCACTACTTATTACGTACCAATTGATAACCCTTTGTATCGATGGGGATTAATAAGACATCCAGTGGAATAGTTATTGCATAATGTTTGAAGTAACTTTTTTCCTTTAATCCAATTTTCGACGTGTTGCCGCTACTGATGATCTACTCGCGGACGTGAATAGTTCGGCAGCGTTCGCTGTTCGAAACCTCTGTGTCCGCCGTTAAGTTGCCCAAACCCTCAACAGCCACCAGGCCTCTGCTGTCCAATCTGTCCTGATCAGGACGCCTGTGCTCCAGTCAGTCCCCTCGGAGGTTTCCAGGAGAGTAGGCCTAGAAGTGTAGGAGATCGCGGTTGTCATCTGCCGCCCCAGTCGTTGTTTATTGAATCTTCACAGAATCCATGGGCACGAATATCTTCGCCCAAGGTAAATGGCTCGTTAATTTCACGGTTTAGCCATAATGGTTAGCCTTCCTCATAGCAAAAGCCAAAAGAAGCACAAGTGCCAAGGCAAAAAATGTCTTTTCAAGACGTTAAACATGCACACACTAACGTAGGGTAAACCTACATACCTATGAATACCGTATATGTACACCGAACAGGCGGAGCGGGGAGTGCCCTGGTGCGATGCGTTTTGCAATAACAGCGGTTTTTTAAGAAACGCGAATCTTCTAGGCGCTTAGTTAAAATGAAGTATGTTGTGTACTTGCGTTAACAAGTCCCTGTTGCATTCGGCATAAATTGTAGAAAACGAACAGCAAAAGTGGTTTCTATATTAGTATGAACCTGTGGACAAAAGGGGGCGCTTGATGGACCAGAAGTCCCGCCATCGACATGTTTGTCAGACGACACATGTGACGGAACTGACTTTTCTTTAATACAAACCTTTCTCTATAGAGATAACACTTTTGCAGATATCCTAACAGCTACATGTTAGGTAAACACGACATATCTGATTTAATATGCAGAGTAACAAAAGAGTTGTTCATCTGTTACCGATACGCTATAGCCTGCCATAAATAAACAGTCGCTAAAAAACGTGACAAACCACCACACGGTTACAAAACACAGATAATTTTTCTATCTATGTATTTATTTCTAGAACACCAAATGTATAGTGTTTTTTACTACTTTGCATGGAATGGTTAGTAGACAGAACGCTACAAAGGTGATACGAGCGATAAGAATCAGCTGGTACTACACGTATATATACATATATA